AAGAGTGACTGAAAAACTGCTGGCTAATGCTAGCTATCTTGTGACAGTAATGTTATTTGAGATGGACTTGTTATTTAAGAGGACAAACCAACTCATTCAAGTGTTCTGTCTGGTAAGATTGTTTACATAAAAAACAAATTAAAGTCTAATAGAGCTTTTGACAGAGCAGTGCCTCAGTTAGCATCTTACCTCCAGACAATGTTGATGACATCAGCTGCAAAATATCAATAGGAGCTCTCATGATGCCAATGTGGAAAATGTGGAAATGTGACTTCCATGTATTAACAGTAGTCACTGGGTTAGTTAGCTGGGTTAAGCGTTTTGCTGAGTAGCTAACTATGAACAAAATTTACTTCAGCATTGCAGTAGCTAATCTGATTAAAACATGAACATAGACGGTGCTCAATTGAGCAACAGAAGCAAGGAGTTACTACTAATATTAGCTGACGTAGCTTTAAGCTTTAGCACGTTTGCATTAACGCTAATGTGTAAATATGGACACGAGGAGACAAATGATTTTGAAGGGAGTGAGTCAGCAGAAAAAAAAAAAAAAGATTTTACTAAGACCTGTAGTCAAAAATTTTGGCTTTTCCTCCCTCAGCTTAACAGTATTTCTAGTTAGCACTTAGCAGCATGCCTTTGTGTGAATGTTTAGTTTAACAATGTTAGGTCAAGTTTAAGGATCAAACAGGTCTGCTGATGGAGCACCCACTCATATGTGTAAGGTTAGGATAGGTTGTCCAGATTTTGTAAATTCCTCAGAGACTGTATTCCTGACACAGTCTATGAGCTAAGCTGTGCACATAGCTGACAGAAAATAGTTGTGGCTACACACTGTAAGATCAGAGGGCTCCTGCCATGACCTAATCATTCCATGTGCCATATAGGCAAGTGTTGAAGGAGTGTTGCCTGTTTATTTATAGGAGTCTCTCTAAGGTTCTACAGCAGCGGCCTGCTCTTTCAGCTGGATTCAATTACAGCTCTGGTGAAAGGTAAAAATAGGCCATAGCACCTACCTATACAGACATAAACAAGCAAACATGAGTGGCTCAGAAATGTGTGATATTGAACCATTTTGAAAGCTGTCAGCTAGAGCTATAAAAATGTGTTTTATTATTGTTAATGAATTACTTAATAGAGTAACATTAGTAAGAAGTTACTCTTTTGCCTCTTCATCATAAAAGCACTTTTAACTTTATGTTCCCACAGTTTATGGAGTTTACTATAATAGTTTATGTTCAGAGTCTTGTTACATAGTTCAATTTAGGACCTTGAAGTTACTTATGGTTAGGCTTTTGGTTAAGATAATAGCTGTGATGAAGGTGCAGCTTATTATATGTACAGAAATGTGAAGTGCCATGCCCAAGGACACGATAACTCTATGAATTAACAGCAGGATTCAAGCTACCAAGATTTCAGTCATAGGACAAGCAGACTAAAGACCTGGGATGCAATTGTCAAATAAACAAAGACAAATTATGGGATTTATTCTGATAGTGAACACCCTCACAAACAATCTCTTAAATAACAATAGTCTTGAATTATCTTCTATGTTAAAATACAACTGGACGTTATTCTGGTCATTTTGCCAAAGAGTGTGGGAAAACACATAGTAGAAGTACTATGTGTATTTGTAGAAATACTAGAGCTATTTACAATACATATTTGAGTAGTAGGTTAAAAAGAGCATCTTGTTTAATTAGCTTTTGAAATAATAATCTTGTTTACTTTCTTGACCTTTTTATTAGTTCCATCCATCCTGATTTAAGGACGACACTGTCTGCTAAAAGGGGAATGTCTTCATCAAGGAGTGAAATGATAATCCATGGGTCGAGATGAGCAGAGGTAATTCCAAGGAACCCTTCCCGTCGGATCTGAGGTATCCTGTGTCAACTTTTTCTGCATGCCACGTTACCTATCAGCAAAACATGGACATCAACTTCAGATGACAGCATGCTAAAATTAGTGGCTATCAAAGGCTTGAAGTGGCAAGGACCTTGGCTGTGGTCTCCTCTTTCCAGAGTGGAAGCCCTGTTTCTGTTACCTCAGGAGGCATGGGCTGGGTTTGCTGATGAGTGGACACTGGGTGCAGTGCCTCAGACGACACTTTCCCACTGTTAATTAGAAGCAGGTGCTATGCATATTGCCATGTATAAGCATAGCATTGCAATATCAAATTTCTAATATAAAGCTTCGCGAAAAAACTGTAATGTACTTGTACTTGTGATTGTACTACTGGTTAAGATGTATTTTGTTGTTTTTTTCTGTGTAACCAAGAGCTTCTACCATGTTATATGTTTTTTTTCTCATCACAAACATGCTTGAAGAGGTTTTTGATATCATCCATGCATGTTTGAATAATCTATCAATCTCTCTCGGGTCCAATTCGAATCCTCCTAACGATTAGCTGTGAGGTTTTGCCCAATGCTCAGCTCACCAGTCCGTCATGCTACCACATACAAAAGCACGATACAAAACGATACAACTTTGCAAGCCTGATGTGATGTTCATTAATGGAATGTATGCCAATTGTAATGTAATAGCACTCTGGGGGAGTGACTTAGGTCCAAAAACAAAGGGAGGGAGGACTCAGAACGTGAAACTTCTCCATGTTAACCATGTTAACCACCATATTTTTTCGGTTAATATAGCATTTTAAATAAAAGGTAACTCGGTGAGCTAAATATGTTATGTGTTAACAATGAATAATCCATAGAAGTGTAATACTCCTTCATTAAGTGAAATGTATGTCTTTTTCTATTGATACCATATAGTGTAAAAAGAAGTGGACTAAGGGTGTGTGATATCACCCATTTGGCTTCAGTCAAATGATGCTCATTGAGGCTGGCAGTTATAGGGGTACATTTTGAGCCCAGTTCCATATTTGGCATTCTGACTGTGAGTATTGTAGCAACCTAAGAGCCAATCCGGATCAAGGCTGTTGAAGGTAACTTCCCTGCCCGCACCACTGGTTTGGTAAAGGGCTCAAATCTGTTTCTAAAGCTAGCTGGAACAACTTCGGCGTAAGAGGGCAAGTAATTTTTGTCTTAAAAACATAAAAGACAGAACTAGATCATTTTAAATGATTTGCAGTGGTCCAAAGTTATTCCTCACTTACCTTATGAATTCATGCAAACATAGTAACCACTGACAGAAGTTGATTATCTCATGTGTGTAAAAAGCTATAGAGGTGCTTATATTTAAACAGGAGAATGAGAAGTAATCCATCAAAAGACAATGGGGGTCTATTTAACATCTTGAACAAGACCACAGTACACATTTTATGCAGAACTATATTTTATCCTAAACTGTCTCTTTAGAAATTAAAGATCAAAAGGTGAAAACATAAATATTTGAAAAACATCCAGAAAGTTCTTCTTGGAGTTAATCCACCTTATCAGGTTGCAGTGGGGTCTCCTCGATTCACAAGTTGAGCCATTAATAACTCGAGTGGTCCCTTGCTGTCATGCGCACACTTCTGTCATTACATGTAGTCAGTTGTATAAATAAATATGCATGTACAGAACAGAGAAAAACACAGGCACACAGCATCTCTGTGTACAACTCAGGACACTGTAGATATTTTTAGAATGTGAACATTTTATGTCTTTTCTGGCCTGTCCAACATATAAGACTCGGGTGTCAATTCCACAGCTTGTTTGTTATTGCTGTTTCCATAGATACGGTCAAGGGGCACCATGCCTTAACCCAATGAGTCCATAGCCAGTTTGTACTGAGAGCTGTATGCTAACACATTAGCAGCAATGTCCTGACACTGACATTTGACTCTGATATATAAGCCTTTGTTCAACAAAGACAAGTCCAAACTCTCGAATCCTCTGCTTGTTAACCTGGCTAAAAAAATGTATTAAATCTCTTGGAAATTAAATTCTTTGAAAAAGGTTGTCATGGTATGTGATGCCTGTGAACGACTGCCTTCGTCTATGTTATAATGCAAAGCATCCAGGTTGGTTTTAGTAACACTGATTATCGCCTCAGTGCTATTATTATATGTTCACTGGGGAAACTGATACACCATTATGACTGAAATGAAAGTGGAAAAAACATGCCTAATAATAGTTTATGGTCCTGGTGCATATATAACTAGGTCTCAGTGCCACATCTTTACCATACAGAATATCTACTCATATATTCAGACATTTCAATGCCAAGTGAAATGTCTCATTGGCAGTGAAATGGCTCATCTTTATTTCATCTTTATTTTGAACAGAAAATTTATCTTGGCTGCAATTTTTGGAGTAGGCCAACTCATTTGCCTCCCCTTATGTTTACTATTGGGGAGTGACATCTGATTGATAAATTTTATAGTATTTATTTGATATTGTTGTAAATATTCTGCATAAATGACTTACTATGCATTTACAGCCTTTACATGACCTATTTGTCGGCTTAATCCATGTTTCTAAAATGGTTGACTGTGACCCAAAGTAGCCATGGGCTGGGTCCTGGAGGTTCCCTTTGACAAGAATAGCCCTGTGATTTCATGAATGAGGGACCTGCTGGGTGACAGGCTTGCACTTCTCTCTAGCCTTTGGATAGAAAACCTGACCTTTTTCTTCCTTTGAAATTTGCTGTGAAGCTATAGTTTTGTACTTTCCAAGCTGAATTCAACTGTTAACCGAGAAATCAGTGCAGAGCTGCGGTTAACGTGAGAGGGACAGCAACAGCAACAAGTGTCATCTGGTCTGCCAACCCGGGGAGGGCTTCGGAGTTTAAAATGGTGTGAATATGATAGCCACCACAAGTCATTTGTGTTGCTCATGCAAGTGGAGCCTGTGTGCTTTGCTGAAAGTTAACACAGCACTAATTTGACAAAAGGACTATTTAAAACAACAACAACCGTTCTATATTTGCAGCCTTGGATCTTTGGAACATAACTGGATTTTACTTATACAGCCTACATGAGAGGAAAAATTTGGAGGACACCTGCCCAAAGGGCACTGAGGAAGTGAGCAACAGTTGCCCTTTAGTTGGAAAAAATGACTGTTGTGTCTCAGGAGAATCACGACGACACTGTGGTCGTCACTCCTGTGTTGCAAGATGCAGTGGGTTTGGAGGCAGCAGACCAAGAGTGCAGTGAGAGAGTGGTCATTAACATCTCAGGCCTGCGTTTTGAGACACAACTGAAGACACTCTCTCGGTTCCCCGCAACACTTCTGGGAAACCCAAGTAAAAGGATTCGTTTCTTTGATCCACTTAGAAACGAGTATTTTTTTGATCGGAACAGACCGAGCTTTGATGCCATACTCTATTATTATCAATCAGGAGGTAGATTACGGCGGCCTGTCAGTGTTCCAGTGGACATTTTCTTAGAAGAAATAAAGTTCTATGAACTTGAGCAAGAGGCAATAGAGATGTTTTGTGACGATGAGGGCCTGGCTAAAGAAGAAGAGCGGCCATTGCCTACCAATGAGTTCCAGAAGCAATTATGGCTTTTGTTTGAATATCCGGAGAGTTCAGGACCCGCACGGATAATAGCTATTGTGTCTGTTATGGTTATTCTTATTTCTATTGTTATATTTTGCCTGGAGACTTTACCTGAGTTCAGAGAAGTCCCAGTGTTGCCAGAGAACGCCAATGGCAGTGCGCAGGGCAAAGTGCTAAATCCCTTCACAGACCCATTTTTCATGGTTGAGACACTTTGTATAGTGTGGTTCTCATTTGAATTCACTATGAGATTTCTCTCATGTCCCAGTAAAGCAGCTTTTTTCAAAAACATCATGAACTTGATTGATGTAGTTGCTATAGCACCCTACTTTATTACACTGGGACTTGATTTGGCGGAGCACCAAGGCAGTAGTCAGCAAGCAGCATCCTTGGCCATCCTAAGGGTTATCCGTTTGGTGCGTGTCTTCAGGATTTTTAAACTCTCAAGACACTCCAAAGGTCTCCAGATCCTTGGGCAAACTCTTCATGCAAGTTTGCGTGAGCTGGGCCTGTTGATTTTCTTTCTGCTTATAGGAGTGGTCTTATTCTCCAGTTCGGTTTACTTTGCAGAGGTGGAGGACCCGAAGTCAGGATTTTCCAGTATACCTGATGCATTTTGGTGGGCTGTTGTGACTATGACAACAGTGGGCTATGGGGACATGTGCCCATCCACTATTGGGGGTAAATTTGTGGGCTCTTTATGCGCCATAGCGGGAGTCCTAACAATAGCTCTGCCTGTCCCGGTAATAGTGTCTAACTTCAATTATTTTTATCATCGAGAAAACGAAGAGGAAGAAAACGTCCAGTATGTGCATGTGACATGTGGGCAACAAGAGCAGCCATCGTTTGTCGATAGTGACTCTAATAAAAGCACACTGTCGCTTTCGAAGTCAGAGTCCTACCACAGTGAAGGAGACCTAGAGACATTGACGTATGCAGATTCCACCCCACCAGAGACCTACACAGGGAAATTGACTGTTGTTTGAGTAACACTTTAATGTGATGTAGGTCTACGTGAAGGCAGTGGAGCGCAGTTTTTACAGCAAATATTACCTCAACACTACCACTTGCTATCCTTATTTATTAAAACGGGCTTATTGTGGAGCCCCATTTAATAAGGAACGTTTCAATCAAATACCTCGTAGACTTGGGTGCAAAAGGTTTGGGTTCTTGATACGCTAGTTTAATCCCTTAAATACTACTGACAGAAACCTACTATCGACTTAAGCAGAACTTCGGGTAGCTCTTTTATAACAAGTTTATGGAAGAAAAATGTGCGTGCAAAATGCCGGTGACTCGCTCACAGTACACGCGACTCGAAGTCAGACAGTATATATATATATATATATATATATATATTACCATGTATTATGTCATTTCAAATTACTTAATGAAAGTAGCCCATACGCTCGTCTAGACAGCAACTGTACAGTAAAAGACACTGTGGATTATGTTAGGCCTCTAAACATGGATGAGTTTCGAGCGCCTCTCTGTGGCAGAAAATGTCAATGTGCGCTACAGTTCTGCTAAGGGCAATAAGCAAACTCAGATTTTACAGCTGCCAGCCCCAGGAATGTTTTAAACTTAAGCCTTGGGATCACACCATTACTCCAGAGTAGTGGTTAAGTGTGAGAGCAGCACAAGCTGTCCCATTTTACCTCCCAAGTTACAACGTTTACCCAGAGAACTGCTATCTGCAGAGTTCGCCCGACGATCCCGTGTAAACATTGATCACGTGAGACTGATCTCTTTAGGAAGAATGACGTTTTCAACGCGTTTAAATTCAGTCTAAATGTGTTCTTAATTTCACGTGTCACCTTTATAGTTTAATAAATCGTCTCTAACAAACAGTCTCAGAGGGGAAATAATTCATCTGCTTCTTCTAAACTTTCAAAAGTAAAACCTTTTGAAACTTTTCTTTGAAACGAAAAGAGATTCTTGTTTATCCGATAATGTTGTACAGTATGTATGCGTATTAAAGTATGAAATGTGTAGCCATTTTGTAAATTATAAATTATTATTTTGCTGCTGTAAATTCGTCAAATGTAATTGTTCCTAATAACATTTATTGCAGTTAAGAGTAGGCTAATAGGCCTACTGTATCCTATGTCATAGTATTGTGAAGCAAATGTAAATTATTTTTTCTAAATGATATGTCCTTATTTTTATATAAATATATAAACACAACAGTGGAAAAAGTCAATACAAATAATTCACACACACACACACACACACCTACACACACACACACACACACACACACACACACACACACACACACACACACACACACACACACACATACATACATATACATATATATGTTTGTGGCAAATGTTTATTTAGCACAACAGTTTGGTTTGAGGCTTAATTGCCTCTTACAAGTCTCCGGGTGGTTTCGAGCTTCTCCTTCGCTGTCCCTGGTGCTGAAACTAAATATTAGTTTTTTTCGGATGTAGCAATGGCTTATTAAAAGTTAAACCCTGGGACCCAGATATATTATATCTATACAGAAGATCTCACATCTTCGTAACGTATTAGGGAGGTGTGTATTCTAGATAAAAGGGTTAATGCTAAAACAGTAATCGATTGAAGTACTTCGTAATCACTGCATGAATATTTGCTACTTATAAGCAGAAAGGAAAATAAGAAAAATTGTTACGTTTACGGGGACGTTTTCAATTCTGTCAACTGGACAAAATTTTCGTTTGCTATGGATCATTCCTGTACGATTGAGGGTTTACACAGACGGAAAGGTTTTGTAAAATAATCAGCATGGGATTTATTTTCTGCATTTTGCCGCGATTGCGCCAGTGCTGGCACTCTGTGGAGATGTTTGTGTGGTGTGTGGAGAACTTGTGGCGGCGTGCTTTAGTACGGAGCCTGTCTGCATTGCGTCGAAAGCCTCCAACTCCTCCTCCTTCGACCCCCTCCTCTCTTCGCATCTCCTCCCCAACTCTCGCTCCATTCACTTCCTTGCACTCGTATGTTCAGTGCACATGAAAACATGTCTGACACTGCTGAGAAAACAGTTGGACATCCCGTTGGCTGCGCTCTACAGTCTCCCAAACCCCATATTTCTTGAGCTTTTCGCTGAAAGCCATGCGCTTTTCTCTATTGTGGCAGCAGATTTCTGCTGATGCAGTGATGTCTGGAAATGTCAAGGGCTTGCTCATTGCCCCTTAATGTATCTCCCCCCCTGAGTTGCAGAACCGGAGTTGCTCCTGCGGCTGTCAGTGAGTGTTCGGACGCTGCGGTTCTCCCTCTGTTTTGTGCCGGGCTTTGCCTTGGAGAGTCCCTTGACTCTCTTACTCTCCAGTCTGTCACGGACGCCGGGCAGAAACAGCATGACTGCCTCAGCCGCGTATTTTCTACGGAGTGCGATGTGAAGCTGACACATGACAGCAGCCGGAGCCCTGCGGTTGGATGGTTTTACTCGAGTATAGAAAACGCTTTCAACAGCCTCTAACATCAGCTACTGGTAAGAATTGCAGAACATTCACTTTTATCTTTATGTTGCATATAACATAACTGTTGTCTGCATTATGCTTATCTGCAAGAATCTTTATGGATAAACGTAGTTGTAAAAAAATGTATGCGTCACTTTAGAGTAGATTGTGGTACAGAACTGAGCAGTGTAGAATACATCACACATTCAGGTACTTTTAGGCACACATTTTCCTCAATAGATGAAGTCTTCACAGCTGATAAACAATATCTAAGTAAGTGTGAAATAACTTAAAAGGGCAATACACTTAACTACACTAAGATAAAACAATTAAGATGTATAAGGCTTTTTCTAAACACTTAATTGTAGCAGAGAGAAGACAGTTATTAAATAAATAAAGTACAGATAGTGCTGAGGCAGCAGAAATCTTGCCTGTTTGATCCCATTATTTCTCACTCTCTCCTCCCTCCCTCCCTCCCTCCCTCTCTCTGTTACGGGCGAGCAGCGGCAGCAGATGCACTTGGGAGCAGCAATGGTCAAGTCAGCGAGAACTGCAGTGGAGCCGCACTGAGGCAGAGTAGCCAGCCCCTCTCATCAGGGGACTCTCCAACTATCTAAGTGCTATGGGAAGCTGAGGAGTGGAAAATCCACTTGCTCACTGAAAGACCTACCAGCTTCCCTGCTCAGCAACTCATCTCCCCAAAATGACCGTGATAGCAGGTGACAACATGGATGAGACCTCGGCTGTCCCCGGTCATCCTCAGGACACTTACCCCCCAGACCACAATGACCATGAATGTTGTGAAAGGGTGGTCATCAACATAGCTGGTCTTCGCTTTGAAACCCAGTTGAAAACTCTTTCTCAATTCCCAGAGACATTACTTGGAAACCCCAAAAAGCGGATGCGATATTTTGACCCACTAAGAAATGAGTACTTCTTTGACAGGAACCGCCCAAGTTTTGACGCCATCCTCTATTACTATCAGTCTGGAGGTCGCCTTAGAAGACCAGTGAATGTCCCATTAGATATGTTCTCAGAAGAAATAAAATTCTATGAACTAGGTGTAGAAGCAATGGAGAAATTTCGTGAAGATGAAGGTTTTATCAAAGAAGAAGAGAGGCCTTTACCAGAGAAGGAATTTCAGCGTCAGGTTTGGCTCCTGTTTGAGCATCCTGAAAGCTCAAGCACCGCCAGAGGCATTGCCATTGTGTCAGTCATGGTCATCCTCATTTCAATAGTTATTTTTTGTTTGGAAACATTACCACAGCTCAAAGAGGATCCAAGGGGACGGATGGAGACTGTGGGGAACACTACAGTTTATTACAAGCCAAATATTCTCACAGATCCCTTCTTTGTCATTGAGACACTCTGTATTATCTGGTTCTCCTTTGAGTTGATAGTGCGCTTCCTGGCATGTCCAAGCAAGCCTGCCTTCTTCAAGAACATGATGAATACGATTGACATAGTGGCCATCATTCCCTACTTTATTACACTGGGCACTGAGTTGGCTGAAGACCCAAACAATGAGAGCGTGGGGGAGCAGGCCACATCTCTGGCCATTCTCCGAGTCATCCGTTTGGTCAGAGTGTTTAGGATCTTTAAGCTGTCCCGACACTCCAAAGGTCTACAGATTTTGGGCCAGACTCTCAAGGCCAGTATGAGAGAGCTGGGGTTGTTGATCTTTTTTCTGTTCATTGGAGTCATCTTATTCTCCAGTGCTGTGTACTTTGCTGAGGCAGAGGAGGATGGGTCCATGTTCAGCAGTATACCAGATGCCTTTTGGTGGGCTGTCGTGTCTATGACAACTGTGGGCTATGGGGACATGGTCCCTGTCACCATAGGAGGCAAGATTGTAGGTTCCTTGTGCGCCATTGCTGGAGTGTTGACAATTGCACTACCAGTCCCTGTCATTGTGTCTAACTTTAACTACTTCTACCACAGAGAGACAGAGGGAGAAGAGCAGGCCCAACTACTCAAAGTTAGCAACCCCAACATCCCTTCTGAATCTAACTCAAGTCGCCGCAGTTCATCTACTGTGAGCAAATCAGAATACATGGAGATTGATGGAGACATTAATAATAGCATTGACAACTTTAGAGAGGCAAATCTAAGAACTGGTAATTGCACTATAGCCAACCAAAACTGTGTGAATAAAAGCAAGCTGCTTACAGATGTTTAGGAAAGGCATTAAAAAATATGAGAGCCAAATATTAACCTGCCCTCTGCTCTGTGGCTCTAGGCATACACTATGCTAAACTATGTAGAATGGAAGCAGAAAATCTGCAGTTGTTTAGATAACAGGTAGATAGAATAATTAATTCTAGATATTCTCCTTATATAAATAATCAAATAGAGGAAGCATATCCATCAACAGCGCCATAGAGGACTCTGCAACAACTTGTACTCTTCCATCAGACAAGAGATGAAATCTTATGCATGGAATTACATTTGTACAACATTGTAGGAGATAAATCTGCAGAGACACACAACCATCTGCAGCCATGATGTATGCATCAGGACATTGAGATGACCCTTTCCTCACCTTTCCTCACCTTTCCTGACCTTCCAAGATCAACTACACAGCAAGCACCTTATAGGAGGAAGACTAGTCTCTGTGGATGTAATAGACTGAGTTCTACTTGCTTTTTGGGACATCTGCAATGCTGCTGTTTTCAAGCAGATACCACAATTATGATATCACCAAGTGATTCAACGCCATGCCCTTTTGATGCACCACAGCACAATGAGAAAAGTGAGCTTCCACGAGCATGACCAGACTTTCCATTTTGATAATGCCATGCATGAAACATATTTCACACAATGGAAAGGATATTCTTTTGGATACCTGCGTCCACTTCTCATCACTTTTCATACAATATTGAGTGCACTGGAGTTTTTATTGAAGTTTGGCTTTACATGTAAAATTGAATGATAAATCTCAAGGAACCAGTACATAGATGAGATCATAGCATGACAAAATAATCTGCATTATGGTCTATCCACTAAGGTACTTTTGTATCCTGGTATATTTAATGCATGACATGAGTATACAGCTTGTTGCAGTTCAGGCACTTCAATGCCCCTTTGCCAGGGAAAGGAAATTAAACTACCATTTCTGAATTGTGATTAATATATTTCAGCAGATTCTGAGGATGCAGATTGTAGTTTAAAAGTAGTCAAGATACAATGTATTAAATGCATATAATCACAATAGGCAACAAATACCAATATTATGTCAATAGTGCAATGCATGAACTTTATTTAAACAGAAACATTACATACATTAAGTCATAAATTATTGTTGTTTTAATTATTAATTATGTGGAGGAGGGTATTTTATGAACTTCATAACAGATTTTTACATAAGTTGCTAGTGCCTTTATCCCTTTCACTAACAGGCCCAGTGTAAGTGCCTATTATGTATATTGGTAGACACTGGTTGAGCAAAAATGATTTACTGTCTGTTTTAGCGGATTAAATAGATGTTCTAGAGACAGCTGAGAAAGTTTGACAGTAGGCGACTGTGGTTGGACAAGCATTGATCCATGACTATCATGCACTTAATTAATCCATGATGCAGAAGCGTCTTGTACTTGCATGTTTATGAATTAGCTACACAAATGGAAATTCTATTTTATTTTATTGAATCTTTTTACAATCTTTGTTGCTGACATTGGTTTTGTTTCTTCAGGGTTTCTACCTCAGTGAGGTTATTGCAAACTTGCTGCAGAGCTGCAAGCTTCAATGCATGCGCCTTCCTCTCCTATAATGCAAAATTTAACCAAAAGTGTAAACTGCAGTTGTGCAGTATTGAATGTGATCTTCCCAAAATATTTTTAGCTTATAAGGTCTCATAAGAAATACCAGTCTCATCTCTAGTTTCACAAAAAGCTACGCACAATCAGAGTGTTCATTAGTAGTGCAACTAATTTGTTTTTAGGAGGGGATTTTAGTTAGTTTGTTTGAACACAACCTCTGTGTCTAATATGTCAGAGATCTGTCCTATGGGCATTATTGGGATAATGGGGGTGTGGCTATTGAATTTATTTTATTTTTTGCCGCATTTATGCGGCCCTTTACATAAAGCTTTATGAGCTAGCAGACTTTAAGCATAAAAACGTGATGAGTACTTGAATAATTTGAGCTGCTGTACAGCTCCAGGTACTTGACTGTACTGTACACTCCACATCCTGCAGTGCTTCCTGAATGTCATAGTCTGTGATGCTCCTAAAGCCCTTTGTGGTTCTAGCACAGACTGTGATCATAGATGTTATGTTGTCTGGTGTTGTGGAGCTCGGTCTTACATCCTTGAGTTTGTCTCTATGTGTTTTGAATTGTGTGGCTGGGTCATTAGTTTGAGGTGCTCGTTGGAGCTGATCTTTGTACTGTATTCTGCCTCAGGCAAGGTTACAGTTTAGGAACCTTGTTTCAAAGTCAGTATCTCTCTACAAGAGCAAAAAAGAACAGCAGATGGCCATCTGCGTCACCAACACTACATCATTATATCACTATAGTTATAGTATAGTACATATAAGAATAACTTCATATTATCTATCTAAAAATGCAGCTTTGAGAAAGCTTTGGTTATAGCCAGGCTTCTTGTGGATGAATGCTTAACCCTATGGATGTGTCCTGTAAGACACAGCTTAGTGTGAGGTGAGCTTGCTCCTAATGTTGTCAACGCATCTTTGGATGGTGCTATGCATAAACATTCAACATGGACTCTTATCAGCAATATTACAAAATGTGCACACATTTTTAGCTGCTTATAATTGGAAATCTTTCTCTGATTAACGTGATCAAGTACTAGACACTGGATACTAAGAGTGAATTTTGTAGTAGCCTAACAGTTACCAGTGAATTCAAGCATATGCAGTAGTGGAAGAGAACCATTTTGAAGGGAAGGTAATAGAAGAATTAACTTTTGTGAGACTACTGAACCACCAGCGGGAGAGGGTGCCTAAATGTGTGTTTAGGGTTTCATTGCTTTTTCAAACAAGCACGGGAATGAATATTAAATGAACAAAGACTCAATTCCATTTAGCTTCAATAAGATAGGTTCAAGTTACAAAAATATATTGTATTTTAACTTGTATACATATGTTAATATGTATACTTTAAACACATCTGAAATATAATAAACCAAATCAATAGTACTTTTGTTGCTTTTGTTTTTGTGTGTGTGTGAAACTCTAATAATGCAACTTTAGGAAGGCCATGCCATATAATAGGACTTATCAAAGACAATGCTTCTCGGGCAGCCCAGTATATTCCTTAGTATTCATTGAAAGCATAATGTACAATAATGTGAAAAATAACATGTTTACATCTTGCCAACTTCTAAAGATGAATCTACTCTTCAAACTGCAAAACCTGCATGGTCAAGAGAAGACTGCATGAGCTTTAGCCTATCAAACGGTTGATCAACTATTACTATATGCCAGAAGAAACCCTTGCTTTCATGTGCACAGCCCTGTTCAGAGCTGGACCAGTGCCGACCTCCAGGTGTTAAGATGGCATTGACGACAAGTTGTGTTGAGCTCTTGAATGTGACAAGGACATCAAGGGCTAGTTCCTCAAACGATATATACTACTGGCTCGAAGCTTTCAGAACTGACTCTGTTTGACTGTAGGAATGTTGTATGTTGGAAAATGTCTAAACTGGAGCTCTTGAGTTTTTTGCCTGCGGAGAAGGCATGGATCACAGCTGAATATTGGGGATAGTGTGTGCCTCACTCACCACAAGCCTCGTTCGGACTACAAAACATAAAACAACATCTGATTTTATTTATTTTTTGTTTACAAGATGTTTTAAGCTGCTTTAGTCAACAAACTGTCAAATGAACCTTTTGCCATCAATGTCATCTTATATTGTATTTTTGTTTTTTGTCCGATAATGACATGGCATGGTCTGCAATCTATGCAAGGGTAACTATATATTTTGTTCTATCACATAAGTTTTGATTTTACATTAACTTCAATAAATTTTTAAGGATCTGCTGGTGTGCGCTCATTTTCGATTCACAGGATAGGTGCTTGTGTGTGTGTGTTCTTGTGTGCTTGTGTGTTTGTGTGTTTGTATGTGTGAGCAGGTTTTAATCACATTCTGGAGACTAACATCTGTATACATGACAAACGCACACCATGGGAACCTTCCTCCCTTATGTGGACAACAATCAGGTCACCATGATGTAAATGCTTTTTTATTATAAGGTTTAAAGATCATGTGAGTTGAAATAGATTTAGATTTAGGAGTTAGGTTAAATTTACATGGTGAAAGGTCCTATATTACACAAAATTGACTCTTGTGAGCTTTAAGTTTAAGTTGTGTTTTGTTTCATTCACACATGTTTGAGTAACCCTTTATTATTAGTCTGTCTACATCTCCAAAGCTCAAAATGTTCTATTCCACGTTGTGATTTCATGAAGCGATAGTTTTGAAGTTAACAGCTACTTTTTACCTTTAATTTAGTAGAGATTTGACAATTCCATGGCTGAAATGATCAAAATGATTCTAGTAAAGGTATATGGATCTTAAAAATACAGTGGAACACTCTCTGTATTACCACATGACATCACAAGGTGGAACAGTGTTTTCTCTTCAAGAGAAGAACTCCTAAATATGCAAAATTTGAGCATTTAATCATGTGAGAAAGAAACAGAACTCCTAGACATCTAGAACTCTAGGTATGTTTGTGATGAGGAAACAACTTTATACCAGAAATCAGAAAATAATGTAATAAATAGTATAATTGGTCTCAAAGAAATGCATGTAAGTAAATGTAATGACCAAAAGAAGCATGGAAATCCAACGTGTGTGTGTCTGTGTGTGTGTATGGGATGGGGGGGGACCGGACGGGACGGATGGACGGGTATAAATCAAAGAGCCTTGTTGCAGAAGTATCTGTAGTGCGCCGACAGCGGAAAAGTGCTGCAGTGTACCGTGTTAACCCAACTCACGGCCTCAATTCTAATGTGTCCTCTACCTCATGCTATCCCTTCACCCAGCCCATTAGCAGTGATTCACAGGGCTAAAGTAATGGTCCTGGGCTAAACTAGATGTTCCAGGAGAGGAGGGCTTATACCACTGTCATGCATGTTACACATGTCTCCAGGCCTGTTGTAGGATCTCTTAAAGGTGCATTGCGCAACTTTTCTGATGGACAGTCCACTACTTAC